CTAGTTCACTTCGCGCCTGTCGCGATGTCACAACATCGCGAGCCTCGTAACATCCTCGCGTCCTCCTAACAACGCGCCGAGTTGCAAGGAGTTCGCACCGCGTTAGGCTCGCATGTTGAGAGATACGGCACAATGCGAGATAGCTGGATCTCGCGCGAGCCATGCTCGTCACATGTTGCGACCTTGATGCCGTAAATGGAGGGAGTTTACTACCGCTCCTTAAGTTGGACAGTTTAGCCTTTCTTGCAAATATCAAACACATTGATGTACGGCAAGTACACGATCAATATACACAAAATAAATTAGCAAGTGAGAGTAGCATTCTTTTCGCTTATTCACAAAGCAAGACTCCCATGTATCTTAACATTTAGTAATTACAAAGCTGCCCATAAAATCAACGTAAAAAAGTCGTCGTACCGCTGATCGCCTTCTCGCATTTTATGTACCTTCCATTTGCGGCGCTCTCACACAAAGAGCTAACTTGGCCTCATTCAAGGTTCAACGGTGAGGTTAAACGTATTATCTCTTTTCTCAATGGCTTGACGGCTGATATAAGAGAAAATAAGTGCGAGATACGCGAACTGTTGAAGAAAAACAGAAATTATCTCAAGTTTTTCTTAGTAATCGCAAATCTTGTTATCTGCATACCTTTCCATAAAGTCCGCTAAGTGTGATGAAGTTATCTGCACCTAATTTAATACCTGAAATGAGAATGATGCTGGTCATCTAGTGAAAATACCAATACTTATAAAAAACTGTAGTTTTGGGAACACTTCTCTTCACTGTGGTGGCTTCACACTAATACTCGCATACAATTATTTTGAATGTCGTTTGACCCCGCTTGCCCTTTTTTGGATTGAAAAGGACTTATGAAACTTGTGAAAACACAAATGCAATCGGTAACCGTTCACGATAATGTAATCGAAGGCTGTGGTGGAGCAATTCAACTTTCTATAGAAATTCCCTATTCACTTAGTGGTGTGGCTCGAGAAGAAATCACATCGTCTGGATGGGCGGTCCTGCACTTGCCGATACCATCATTTGAACACTTGAGCATTTCCTGGGCCTATACGATTTTTGTGGAGCGCCGATTCTAGGCCAAAACAAAAATTTGCTGTTATCCTAGTTCTTCAAGCAAATTACAAATTGCGCTAGCGCTTTGTGTTGTTCCTCCTTTTAATCTTCTTGCGCTTATATAGTAAACGAGGTTAAAGGGTGCATCTATCACACTCAGGCGGTCCAGAATACCTCAGAGAAGGGCAAGTAAGGAAACGATGGGGTGCGTCGAAGATAGACTCTATTGTTGGCTCTGCTGTTGTTAGACAATTGCTAGGCTTTTCCTATATCGGCTGCCAGTTGCTCAAAACGCTCTAAACGCTCTAAAATGCACATATCGATGATAGCATCTACAACAATGTCCTGCTCGGTAGGTATGCTTCTTTCTCATTCAGTTGCGTTGAAAGAAAGTGTTAGAAGTATTTCAGTCAACAAATTCTGAACTGGAAGTTCTGTACCAAGTGATGATGTTATATGAACACAAACCGATCATCAATAACATTGATTCCAAGAAGTCTTTTGGTTTTAGCAAAACCACAACAATAGCCAAAGAAAAGCTAGTAGTCTAGCTTCCATGTTTCACTATCTGTAGATAAATAGATGCTCAGCACAGCTCTTGATGATTTCAATGATAACGACTCCAAAACATGCAAAGTCCTTTCACATGCCGATTTGACTGTTATCAGCCGTTCGCTTGCTTGCATGCAGCTACGCACTCCGACTCGTTGTCAAATCTGTTGGAATTGCCACCAGCTCCAAAGTAGAAAAATTCGACACATTCATTTTTAGTCGAGTCGTATCCATAACTAAATTTACATAACAGTCAACAATTGGCTTGAAAAAAGTTCTGGTAAAATGGAGCACGAGGCACTAATAGAAAGTTCTAAAAAATTCTCAAGAACGTATATTTGCTACCTTTCATGGTATGCATGTTTTGAAACTATGTACTCTCGGGAATATCTATTGGAAATGTGCCAGAAAAGTATTTGCTTGTTATTTGTGTTTATTTCAGAGATTTGTTAGAATGAAACTCTGGTTACACTCTATGTGGATCGTCTCCATTATAAGATTTTAACTCACACCAAATCAGCAACCGCAAAGGCTGTGTCGGGATACCCTCGATTGATGGGATCAGTACATTTTGACGTAGCGCAGAGATCTTAAAATATGTGAATGAAAATGAGGTCTAAATACCGCATAAATTGATTGACCACTGCCAACTATAGCCAGAAGAATTAGAAGCGCCTTCATAACTAAATATTGGAGAATAGAATAGATCTATACT